TTAATTTAATGGGGCCGGGTCCTGCAAGAACGGGGAGCCTTTTCTGTTTTTGTTGCTTGGGCCCATGAACTATTTAGTTTTTGATGCCAAAACATCCTGCTGTCGCGTTCTCTTTATCTTTCGGGCCCCCCTTCCCCCCCCCCCCACCACCACCGCGCCCCTCCAGAACCGAGTCCGGGGAAATCAGATCTCGTTCTTGCCAGGCGATGAAAAGATGACGAGAGTGAGCTACGATGGGAAGGGACGGGACACGTGTGCTGGACACGTGTGCTTGCTGCTGTTTCGTTGGGTTGGCGCGTGTCGAAAGGATCGGAGTCAGCCTTGTGCATGGGCATGGATTGTTTCCCCCATCACACAGAAAAGTGTATGTTCTTCCTATAGACTTTTACCACATACGAGCGTGTACGGATTCGCATATTACATTATTGGTTCGCTGGGTTTCTCTGGGGTGTACGAGTCAACAACGGCGTCAGCTGCGTGGGCTGTTGAGCTTGGGAAACGGTCACAATTGTCAGCTGGCAGCCAGTTACATAGCTGAAGGCTCCGACTCAGCTGCCTGCTTGTACTGTCAGGCTACAATCTTGCATCGTCACTCCTTTGACGACACTGCTGTTTGCTCATGAGCCCATGCTCTCCGGAACGGGATCCCTATTATACAAAGAAAAAACTTGTATGACAGCAGTGTGTCCACTAACGCTCATACAAAGAAAATAACATGTATGACAGTGTATCATTTATCCCCGGCTCTTGTCCTTGGATGGAGATGAATTCGTTACGTTTCTCAAAAAAAAGGAAAAAACGAAAGAACGCAACAGGGTTCTCAACCTGGAAGCTTGTCTAGCTCACTCACCCCACGGCCTCGGCCCTTCCGCTGTTGCTGCTGCTGCTGCTGCTGCTGCCGTGAGCCCTGGTCAGCGCCTTGTTGCCCCCTCGCTTCTGCGTCAAGGACCAGGTCTTGCTCCCTGCTCGTCTCGGCAGTGCCCTGCACGCAACAGCACCAATGACAAGGACAGGAAAAAGCGTACGACCGCGGCAAGAATAAAACTGAACCAAAAATTATGGCTCGCTGTTTTGTGGTGGTGGTGGTGGTGGTGGTGGTGGTGGTAGGTTTGGTGTTATTGTTTTTGTTTTTAAGGCAACATGACAATAAAAGCAGGCAGCAGGACCAACCCACAGCTGACTGCCAGCTACTGCGGTGGGTGCGGCGTTTCCGAACAGCTGGCGTAAGTGCTTTTCACTCGAAGAGCCAAGGGAACCCCAAAGAACCAAAAAAGAAAAAAGAAAAAAAACTATTGTACATGGTACATATGCATATGTATCGTTTCTTCTCGAAAACGACGAGATCATGGACGGCGGCATGGAGTAACCGCAAAACCGGCCCCCAAGTCCACCGGAGGAGGGGGAGGGGGGCGAACCCTTGTAAACACATGTCGTAGCCGTTAGACCTCGGGACCCTTACGATGCCGGGACGGAGCTGCGATTGCCGCCGGGTGGTCGCCGGCCCAAGCTACGTCTCATCCTAGGGGAGAGGTCCCGTGAGCAACTTCGACTTTCCAGTCTCGTTTACTCCTCGGCTTACCGGTGCTGCGGTCGCTGTTGCTGTTGCTGATGACGATGATGATGATGATGACGACGGCTGGCCGTTCTCCGTAGATGCGTCCCCGAAGGTCCGGTCGACTCTGTTGGCCGCGAGGATGTCATCCCTTTCGACGGCAAAGGTCGGGGGCACACACAGGCGGGACGCGAGAGCAAACGAGGAAAATAAATCAACGTGCACAACAATAACGTTGCTAGTGAGCAACGACGACAACAGCAATCAAAACAACTACAGCAGCAGCAACAACTACTACTACTATCCTACAACAGCCATAACAGCAGCAAACAACGGAGACATACGCAGGAGCCACTACAGTTAAAACAAGCCACGGAGAACGGCACATTATGTTGAATCGCGGGGATCATCGCCGTTGGACGAAAATTGTCGGAAAATATGCGGCGCGCTCCGTACAAGCCCGATAAAGACGGTACGAGAACAAGCTTGGGTCTACGC